CAAATCAAGCCCTCACAGCAGTCACGTTTCAGGACAGAATTTCCCACCTTTGCCACTTATAAGGAAGAGCCAGCACACTGAATTCAGATGTTCAAAAGACATATAGGTAACAGTGAGATTATGCCCTGATGCACAGGAAATGTAAATCACTCCAGTTGTTTGGGGGGCAGAAAGCACAAGTCCCTGAAAATCTAGAAATCCACAAATCAGGATTTGGGATCATAAAGACTAAACCACATTCCCTCGTATTTTAAAGGATCCCTTGGCTGACCCAGAACTACCATAGCGGGCTCTTGCAGCTGACAGATTGTGATCCAAGTGCCCAAGAGCAAAAGGCCATACTATGGATGTGCTTGGGGTTCAGAGCTATTTCTGGGAACAGTAGCAGTAAATGTTTCATTCAGGTTTACAAGCAATTGTAAAGCCTGATGTCTCCTAGTAATTCAAGCTATCACTTCCAATAAAGACAACAGGAAGAGAATTCAGGCCCAAATTAGCTCCAGTACTCCATCTCAAATGTAGGGAAAGTACTCATAACATGTCACAGTACTGCAGATTCACCAGTCTTGTGTACCTACAAAGGCACTCTGGCACTGGTCACACCAATTAAAGAGCGAATAATAAAGAAGATTGGATGTAGTTTCGGTCTAAAGGGAATATCTCGAACAATCTTGGGGCGGGGGGCAGAGGGTAGGAAGAACAGAGAAGAGACTAGAGATGCAGAATGGCTCAGACTCCAGGTATCAGTTACCAGTTTACAAGGATTATCTCAACTGCTTAACTGCACAGTAACATGCCATACTATGCATCACCAGGCTGCCCACAAGGATAAACCAGCCCATGCCAAGCAACTATATGCTAATCAGGCTGCAGGAAAAAGCAGAGGCCAAAGAGTACTTGAGAGTGAGCCTGCTTGATCTCAGACTGTCCTTATCTAGTTACAAACAAAACAGACGTGGTTTATTTGAAGGACCTGAAGTGATGAGCGACAAGGAAAGGGGAGGAAGAAGTAGGTGGAAGTATTTCTCCTCACTCCCCAGCCCCATCATAAAAAAATAAAGCTACCTCACTGGAGAAGCCTCACAATGAAAGCTGGCTGTTCTGGTCGTTTAAAGTCTATGAAAGACAGGCAAGCAGGAGGGACAGCCAGCGACACAGAGGCTGAGGAACACTGTCAGAAAGGCACTCCATCCTCTTGTCTTCCTCTTGTGCACCAGAGGCAGAGGAGGCAGCCAGGGCTGGAGGGCAGAGCTGGGTGAAGTAACGTGGTGCTCCAGGAGTTAAAGCACTCTTTGGTATCCAGGCAGCGTAAAGCAAATGGCAGTGACGTCAGGGACGTGTGGAAATTTTTTCCAGAGCACGGTCATAGGAGGTGCTGTTGTAACAAACCAAACACTAATGCTGTTGTCTGCAGCGTAATGCCTTTGAGTTTTGTAACATCAAAAGGCAAACGCTGGGAGGTAGCTTATTTAATCAGGTTTCCAGCCAGGATGCTCCAAACGCCAAAGACACCTTAAAGGTCAAAACCACTCCAAGGTCTCAGAAAAAATGCAGTGGGTCTAGGAATCGAGCACCATAGGGTTGAAATAGAAAGCCTCCTGCAACAGGTAGGCTTATAACAGAAGAATCTGATCATCAGCCTGCAGATCGACTCAGCAAAGGCAAATCAGTCCTAGGCAGATAGGCATTGGCACTCTGGGAGAAGGACCTGGTTCAGCCTCCGCGTTTGAAGCACTGCGCAGTTGCCTGGTGCCTCAGGAGCAGAAAATACCTATCCATGCGCACCCACAACCCAATTCTGCTCACGTAAAGATACGGCAGATGCCTGCTCTAGTCCGCACACCAGAGCTGGCGGCTCTGGATGTGGCATCTCCAGCTGATCCATTACAACAGGAGCTGAATTCAACATCGCAAGGGTGGCAACAGCAGCTGTGGTTGGCAGCAACTGGAAGACTGTCTATTTGCATAAAGAAATTGTTAAAAGCCTCTGTAGTGTAAATGCTATTTGTACAGCACCCAGGGATACATCATGAGCATGTAATCAGGAATACACATAGAGCCATTTCCTTCTTGCGGAGACATTAGAAGTCAATTGCTACCTCTCGGCGGACTAAAACTCGCTTGATTTCATTTATCCAGAGAAAATATTAAAAAAAAAAAAAAAAAAAAGAGAAAAAGCCACTGTGCAGTCTACAGCAGATGAGGGCTGGGAGGTCAGGTTCCCCCGACGGCGATGCTCCCGGGCCGGGCCAGCCGCCGGGAAAGGAAGGAGACCCAAGGACGAGGCGCCCTCAGACAAGGTCGGCCCGACCCTGCCTCACCCCCGGCCCCACCTGGAGCCGCACTCGGGGGTCAGCGCCCGCCGGCCCCCACGTGGTCCCACGGGGCACCGAGGGGAGCGGGCAGGGGGACCCCGTCCCTCCCTCCCTCGCCCCGCGGGGACGCCCCGTCCCCAGCCCCCCCCGCCCCGGCCGCAGCCCCGCCGCAGCCGGCGGAGGCGGAGCGCCGGGGCCATGCTGCAGCGCCCGCCGCATCGCCGCCCCCCGGCCCCGCACTCACACCAGCTGCCCCCGGTGCGGCCCAGCAGCTCCTTCTTCTCCGAGTTCCAGATGAATTTCTTCCAGTTGCCGTCACCGTCCTTGGCCTTCCCGCGGGCCATGGCGAGCGGCGGGGCGGGCGAGCGGCGTGGAGAGTTCTACAGCCCTCGGGGGGCGGAGCGGGCAGGGCCCGGCCGGGCTCCGCGGCACCAGGAAGGTGCGGGTGGGTGCGCCCGCCCCGGCGACGCCGGCCCGGCGGAGCAGAGCGGGGGAGCGGCCGGGGGGACGCGGGAGCGGCGGGGGGAGCGCGGCGGAGCGCACGGGGCACGGAGCAGCCGCGCTCCCCGCGCCGCGCCCCTTCATATACACCGCGGGCTCCGCCCCGCCCGCTGCCTCGCCAATGCGCGCCCGCCGACGGTCCGGAGGAGGGGTCTGCCGCGGGTGGGGCGGGCCCCGGGGCCGGGCGGGGCGCGCTGGGGGTGCGGCGGCGGCGGCGGGAGAGGCGGCGGGGGGCTCTGCGGCACCGGCTCCGGCAGCGTGAGTCGGTGCCGCCGCCCTGCCGCGCACTCCAGCTCTGATCCGCCGGGCTGGGTTGCGGCGGGGCGGGCGTCTGTGTGTGCGCCCATCTGTCTGTGTGCCCGTCTGTGTGTGCGCCCATCTCTCTGTGTGCCCGTCTGTGTGTGCGCCCATCTGTCTGTGTGCCCGTCTGTGTGTGCGCCCATCTCTCTGTGTGCCCGTCTGTGTGCCCGTGTGCGCGGGTGCCCGGGGGTGCGCGCACCCGCGGGACACGGGCGCGCGCCCCTTGCCCGGCCGTAGCTGCACGCGCGTGAGCGCGCGGGCCCGCGCACGTGCCCGCCTGTTCCCGGCGTTCCCGCCCCTCCCGCTCCCAGTGGGTCCCGGCTCGGCGCGACAGAGCTGATCGGCCGGGCGCTGCTGAGCATCGCCTCACTCCCTCCCCTCCTCCTGCTCCTGGTCCTGGCGGCCCCGCACGAGCCGCCGGCCCCGCACGAGCCGCCGGCCCCGCCACGCTCCGCCGGGCTCACGTGTAGCGCGGCTGCGGAATATCGAACGCAAACAGCGCTCCCCTCCCGGCCCCGCTCCGCCGCCCGTGCGCTGGGAGCACCTGCCGGGAGGGGCGGCCGGGCAGGGGCTCCCCGGGTACGGCGGGACCTCCCCGTCCCCTGTACCCGGTGGGGGGGACACGACTCACACACGCGACAGCCGCAGCCGCCCTTGCGGGGTGACCTTCAGGGCGCTGCACAAACGCCACGCCGCACCCTCGGCCCAGCCCGCAGGGGCTTGGGGTTTCTCTGCAGGGACACCTCTGCGATCACAATTAACTACTGTGCCTTGATCCCATGGTCAGGATTACAGGACAGTTAAATTACATCTGGAAGTCCAAGCATATTGGTTTTACCTCTGAATTTCCTATTGGATTGCAACATTGTATTCCACATTTTCTTGCCCTTAAGCTCCTGATACTTTAACTCCACCCTCCTTTTTTTTGAGATCTGGGAATTGGCGCTGAATGCGTATAAGATGGGCCGTTCCTTGGTACCACCTATCAGGTGCATGTTCTGGAGATTACCTGCAAGAATGACCTAACCTGGAACTGACCACCACCCTACCACCCAGCCAACTCAAGCATGTTCTTCTCAGCTCTCAAGAAGTGGCCACCATTGTCTCCTACCCTCCCTAAGCCATTAAAACTAGTAGTCAGGGGACAAATCATAATGTGGTATCCTTCTCCAAGTGATCCATGGCTACAGACCAGAACCAGCCTCTGAAGCAACTGAGACCTACTTTTTTAGGCTGTCAGCCTTAACTTACTGGGTCCAGATAGGCCAGATACCCTCAAGGTCACACCACCATTCATGGCAGTGGCTGAGCATGGCCTCCTTAGCTTCAGGCATAAGACCAGATTTCTCAAAGCCATGTAGGTTAGAGGCACAGAGAGGTCATGTGCCTAGAAGGCTGTATTTAATTGGGAGTGTCTGCTTTGCTGAATGCTCCATGATAAATTATACATGATCAAAGGGAACCAGGTGTGCCACATGGATTTGCATCCTGCATTAGGAGAATCAGCTCTCAGTGGTGTTTGTGTGATGGGAAAGAACTGGTCAGCCACAGGGAAGAGGATAACTGGAATCCCTCTTTTCTCCTTGGTGTCTGGTCAGAGCTGGTCTTTCAAAGAGACCTGCTGATGGTGGGTGATAACAAAAGCAAACATAGACAGCAGTATCTGATACCCAAGTGATCATCATCTACGCTGCAGGGAGGACAGTATTAGTTACAAGTTAAGGCAGCTGTGATTACAATCAAGCCAATAAATAGATGAGCACTGCTGAATGAAAAAAACACCCATTTTTAACTTCCCAGACCTCAGCACAGTTGCTGCTCTCACCAACTAGTCTGTTTTTCCCAGCTGCTGGGACGCCCAATCTGCACTGGCCACCGGGGAACTGAAACACTAATGCCCTGGGTACAATTTACAGCCCAGTTATGCTACTCTGCACAGGGCAGCAGTTTGGGAATTATGTATAGGTGTGTGGTGGTGTCACCCAAGCATCAAACCTACTCACCGGACAGCCTGCCCTTGAATGCTGTGTCTCGTGTTATCCATGGGCCAGGACCCAGTTCATCTGGTCTGCAGAGGAAAACACCGCATGAGTTAGTTCAAGGCACATGCAACAGCAGCAGCTGGTGCAGCCCTCTCCTAATTACCTTCTGCCTGAGAAAGGGGGTCATCCAAAATAAAATAGGGATGGGATATTCAGGGAGGCTCACGGTGATACTAATATCAGGGAAGATTTGAACAAGAATACACTCTCCCACAGCATTGTTTCCTATGACTGCAGAGAATGAGTTTGGAGAAAGCAACTAGAGAGTATCTAAATAACTGTATCACAATTACACTGTAAATGGCCACCCAGAAACATGATCTTCCTCTGAGCACACTCACACCTTCACTACAAACTCTAGTGGTGCTGGTGAACGCCGAGCTGCGGGAGCTCCTGGCTTCATCAGTGTTTGTTCAGGGATCACTGGGAAACTCTTTCCCCTTCCTGCAAGCGTCTGTATTTCTGTATAAATACACAGAGAAGTCCTGTTGGGTTGGCAGTGTCCAGCGATATCAAATCCTCATGACTGCACAGGTGGTGTGTGCAGGATCTGGAATGGGCAAAAGGCTCTCCATGAGGGTTGCACACCACCCCTATAAGCTCTTTCACACAGCCAAAGACTCTGTCCCATGTATGCTCAGTACACACACTTTACTTGATGTCTGTGAATTATCCTCTCAGAATCAGCAGATCTAATAGGCAACAAGGTGCCAAATTTTATTCAAATTTACTGTTTGTTTGGCTGTGCAGATATCAATCAGGCCGTCTCTAAGGCCACTACTATATGATCTGATCTTTTAAGGTGATAAGGGCCTGAGGCAACATTGGAAACTGCCAAGAACAAAATGTGCAAAGCAATGTATGTCCAAGAGATTAGCTGCAGGATGAAGGATGGGGCTGGGGAAAGCTGTGCACCAGCACCTAGGAAGGAACAACCTACAAGATAGAAGTTGCTAAGGGTTTTTCTCACTGCCTTAAGCAGTTAGCATGTGAAGAGCACTCTGATTTTCTCCGGTGGGTTTGGGCATAGCCATCAATGAGATTCCTGCTTCCTTTGGGTCTCCTGCCTTGTGCTACTGGGAGAAAGGACTTAGGGCAAGAAAAGCTGTCTCACTATGGAGCAGGAGGATGAACAATTACTTCTAATGTAGCAGCAAAAAGTAGTGCCCAAGCGCAGAGCAAAACAAAGTAATGATTTATCTGGCTTGGTGACTATTTGTAGGGGAAATGAGACTGTGCTGCTGGCAGTCACATACAGGAACTCTGGGAAATGTGTGATCTAGAAACATCTCTGATAGTGGCTGTGGATGATCTGCAGCAGAAGGAGGCATGCCAGGGTGGGGAGCCTCTCATAGACTGCAGGACCAAATCCTAACCATAAGGTGACAGAAGATTGTGAAATGGCCTCAGAAAGTTACTATTCATGGGCTGCCACTGCAAACACTGCCACTGGGGCTCCTCGGGCTGGCATGCCCAGGAGCTGGAAAGGGCAGTTGGCCAAGAGCTTGGCACCAAGCCTGCATCACACACAACAGGTGAGGCAGGGTGAGGAAAAAACAGGCAACAAGAGCTGCTGCAGCCCTGCAGACCAAGATCAAGATGCCTGGTGGCAAACAGGCATTATATACTCTTCCAGGAGCTACAAGAGGCCTTGAAGGGGAGAGGTGTGACCCTTGAGAGCTGCCCTCAGTGCCCCAGCAAGGCATGTGCTGGTGTTTCATCCCCACATCAGTTTCTTGGTCTTACTGGACACTGCCTTAGGATTGTCCTCCAACTCTCTGCCTGGGAGGTTCACGAGAAAGAAAGCCCACTCAGCGGCTGCTACACAATTTAACATCGGCTCAAGCAGAATATGTAGTCTCTCAGAACACAGTATGACAAAAGTAGCTTTCAAGTCTTCCTTCTTTCTCTCCTTGTCCCCCTTACAGATGTGGGGTCACTAGGGATTAGACTTATAGACATATGCAGTGATCCTCTGAGCACAATGATTACACTTGAACAGATTAATTGTATGTAGCTATGCAAGCTGAGGTAACTAAGTTCAAAAAATCGTGAACTGGTAGGCACTGAGAAAGTAAATTTATGTAGAAATAGCTTCCCCCCAAATCCAGATATGGGGCCACTATTCTTTAATATCAGTTCAATAGTTGTGTGGGAGTGCCTGCACAGCTCACACTTGGATAAAAACATTGTGGAAGACAACAGCTGATAAGATAGATAAGTGACTGTAAACAGCATGTACGGATGGAAAACCCAAAAGTGTCTGAGAGTGCATTTACCCCAAACCAATCTTACTGAAGAGGGAAACAATCACCAGGCCTTAGCTGATCACGCTAAAGAGGATGGCAACTGTCAGCTGGATTAAACAGTAACCAGGGAATGACAATTTTGAGACACAGAATGAGTTGATCTGAAAGGCTATATAAAAGAAACATAGAAAATGGTAATGGAGCAAGGAGAGGCCTCAGACTGTCAAAAGCCAGTCTGGCACATCACAACCACTGTTGAGCTCAGATGCAGCAGCTCCCCATTCATGAGACGCTGTCATAAGCTGGCACCCAGCGTGTGGCCTGACCCTTTGGGAGGGTGTGCGTGACCTGCTGGCATGCCTTCTCACAGCAGGTGCACTAGCCGATTGTAGTGAGTAGCATGGGCACCCCCAGAGCTGGAGTGGCCACAACCCCAGTGGGAGCGGGGTGTAAGCGGGAAGACCTGTGCTCCCAGAAGTGGCCCCCATGCCACTGACAGAGGAGTTGGTGCCTGCGTGCCTGGAGATTAGTTACAAAAGTGTGTTTAGGAACTTGCAGGAATTTATTAGTGTTTTATAAGTGTCTAACCTTGTGGTTGAACTGCTGTATTGCTGACATAGATCCTGAATGTATAGTGCACGGAATATCCTTAATAAATCAATAAATCATTTCAATCCTGATTTGGTTTAACCCACGTGAGCTGAACCATTTTTTCCTGCCTCAATGACCAGTTGGTGAAGGCTTTTGAGTAGTCCTGGCAGGAGAAGGCCTATAAGCTCAGTGACAGAAAAAAGATTCACCTCGTGTTGAACTGGTGACTATGAGCAGAAAAAGGGAAGGTTTCTGTGGTGGACTGGCTGGCAGGTGGAGACAGAAAAGGGAGATGCAACAGAGACGATGTGCTGTGTGCCTGATGTTTGATAACTGGGATGGATACTTCTGGTGGACGGTACAAAATCCTGTTGGATGCTACAGTGAAATCTGCCAGCTGTCAACACTGGAGGCAACACATGGAGGCAAAAGCAACTTGTGAAGGCAGCAGAAGTCAAATCATATCACCAGAATTTCTCTTTTAGACTGATGTGGGAAAAATTACTCTGATCTCAGAGAAAATAATATGAAAATACTTTCTTGCATGAAATCCACCCTGTTTTCGTTGGCACATCTGGAAGTGATCACCACACAGGAAGCAGCATTATGCAGGAAGTAGCTATGAAGCTAGCAAGAACAGCACATGTTTTGTGACAGTGGACACCTGGAGCCCTTACTGCAGCAGCAATCAGTTTTCTGGTATGCAGCCACCAAACTTAGGCAGCTATGTGAACTCAGCCACAATTCTGGGGGACTGATACGGCTTCACCTCTGCTGGTCCTAACAAAATGGTCCCCATTCGGCTCCTACTGGAGATAGCAGCATGGTGCACCAGTAAAACAGGCTGCCTTTAGTTTTCTGTCTTGGCAGTAAGATCGTGAAGCTTCACTCTCCACTCAGTCCTAACCATAAACTCTGATGGCAGGTTCTATTTGGGCACCAGCCTGCTTGTCTGCTCCAGTTAGAGCTCTGCTGTCTACAGCACCAGCCAGCCTGGGATATCCAGCATGAAACCAAGTCAAAGAATGAGAAATAAATAAACTCCAAAACTATTTTGAGGCCTGCTCTAATGGAGCTTAAAAACAAAATCAGAGTGGAAAAACATTTCTATCTTTAGCCATCAGGAGCAAGACTCATCCAAGCAACACCACACAGGAGCTGGCAATGGGAATAGTAAGTTAAGGTTCAACTTGTTCCTAAATATCAGTGGGATGCTACATGATTTACAATGCCAGCCAGAGGCCTTTCTCCTTCTCCTCATGGGAGGTCTTTTCCCTAAAACAACTCACAGATGTATGTGATAATTTTAAAGATTACTCCAGCGTTGTTTTCACTAAAAGTTCTTATCAACTGAAGGTAGATGTGTCTGCAAACAGAAAAGCCTGCTGCCCACTGTGGGCTTCTTGGTGGACTTTGCTTTGCTTTGGGTTGTCTGGTTCCACTGTGACATTCTGGGATGACCAGCACTGTACCATCACTTGCAACACAGTGACATATCGCAGGTAAAAACCGAACACATTTCCACTGGAGAATCTCTCTACAGTCCCGAACATGCAGTTATCATGACAAAAGACATCGTGCAGCTGTGATGGAAACTGCCTGTCTTCATTCTGCTGATACAAATGTGGTGGCTTGGTAACCACATTGGAGTCTGAAATTCCCTTTTCTCTTTTAACCAGTCCTGTGAACTGGAGCAGATCACATAGCTGAGGCATTCGCATACAGGCCAAAGGAGGCAGACACACATCTAACAGGTGTTTAAAAAGCACTTTTCTCATTATAATTCTCATATAATTTCTTATTGTAATCAGCAGGAGCTAAGAACCTGACCTGTGTGAATGACTTGAAAAGTTGGATATTTTGTGGGTTTAGATGCTTGTGCACCTTGGAAAACCTGCTTTGCTTTTGTGCTCAGATAATCAGGATACATTTGACATGGTCATTTATAGCAGACCCTGTGTCAAAATGAATCCATTCTGCAACAGCATGATGGGATCTGGGCACTTGTGTCACTGGTGTCCACAGATTGATCAGGCATTTCTCAGAAAATCTCAGTTCTGGCTGAATAGGACACAAGTGCTGGGCACAGGGAAGTGAACACCATCAGCAAACCATCACGTCTGCACTAACAATGCGGCAGGTAGCATGTAGCGATGCTGCTGTTATTTACATGAGGCAGTACTGTTGTTTTTCTGTTATTTAAACCCTATTTATCATCTGAATGACACAAACCCTTGGAGGATATAATCGTGACAAGACACTCAAGTCATCTAGAGTTTTGAGTTGCACTTTTTTTCTCATGGGAAACATCCCCAAAATACCAACATGCAAATCTGTTCTTCTGCGCGTCAAAAGAATTCACCAGGCAACCAGGACCAGGAACTGAACAGAAATTACTTTTTCTCCCCACCTATATTTTCTTTTGAAAAAGCAGTCACTACTGGTAATCAAAGATTAGCTACTATTGCCTGATATTCAAAGCACTTCACAAATGAACACTCAATATCAAAATGGCCTTAGCTAACCTGTTTTATTATAAGCTAGTTTTGGTGACCGTAAGAACATAAGACTGGCAACACCTGGAACACACCAAAGGTCCATTTAATCCAGTGCATCTTCTCCAGCTGTGGTCAGTACCAAATATTTAGAAAAAGAGCTTAAGAAGAGGGCAAGTACACAGTGACCAGTGTGACCTCCCAGGTGCCAGTAGTCCCCCGCCTAGGGATTTCCCAAACCAGGCAGTACACTGACAGCTAAGTAAACTGGGCGTAGTCCTCACCTAATCTATGTCTCACTTTGGAGAAGCAGTTTGTATCCAGCATGTTGCACCACCCTCCAGCTCGGCAGTGTGACTGCAGACTCTGCAAGTTCACCTGAGTGAGCTTTAGAGGCCAACAACCGCACGGAGGTGACGGCAGTGCACAGCTGGAGCCTGCCCTGGCCTGTCCACTGCTGCATCTCATTGTGGTTTAACAAGGTGGTTGAAAGCTGTCCCTTGTCTTGCATTGTAAGTCACCACAAGCCTCAGGGGGCCCACAGATCAGCCGCCCCATGGGGTGTGCGGTGACAAGTGAACCATAAACTTCAGTGGACATGTGGTAGTTTGCCTGATGAGTGAGGTACCTATCTTACTGTCATGATGGTATTTGAGCAGTTACCCACATGTCAACACCACCAGACAACATACTAGCCTATAAGAGTACATAAAGAGCTCTGAATCTTTGACCCCAAGCTCCTTCTTCAGATGCAGCCTCCTAGCCCGTGGGAATTGCCTCTCATGTTTCAGCTGAAACAACCAACTGAGGTGGCCTCTATGTCACCTGTGGTGACTCACAGTCTGTCCTTGCTGCACGAGGCTCGCCACATGGAAAGACACATTCTGCTAGGCACATACTTAATTTATAAGCACTGATTATTGCATAATGGATTGGAGAGCAAAGGTCCTGGTCTATATTGTATTCAAAATGCCATCTGGAAAGAGGCTGGCATGGTCTGTAAGATGGCTGCTTTCTTAAACCTGATAGCTTTGTAAGAGAATCTTTCATTATTGATGAGGCAGAATTTAACGATAAAGATGTGTATTTTATTCTCAAGGAGAATGTTTTTGGTCACTGGGATGGTGATCAGTGGCTTAATTCCCACGACAAGCAGTGGGATGATTATCCTGTTATAAATGTAAAGCAAATAGTTTACTCAAAGAGCTTTAGATGTCATTAGTCTCTTAGAAAATGCATGTCAGTAGGTCTCATGTGACTTGGAAAGCAGTGTGGCTGTTTAATGTAACTTTTGCCTCCACTTAGGTCCACTGGGTGCCTATGACTGAGAGCAGCTGTCCTTATACTGACAGCCCTGTTCAGGTCATGGAGGCTTTGACCTGCCTCTGAACTGACAGTCTGAAGCACTGGACAGATACTGCTGTTTCAGTTCTTCAACGTTTATCTCAGGGATCAGGTTTCCAGAAATCTGCTGCAGTTGAGTTCCCATAATGAAATGGCACAGCAAAGTCACCCACATCAGGCACTCAAAACAAGCCTTCAAATCCCCCTCTCTCCTCTTGACTTCAAAACACAGGGAAGAGTAAACGCATATATATTGTTATGGCCCCATTTCTTGCTGGTAGGTACGTGTGGGACATGGGAAGCTGGTGGCAGAAGAAAGAGCAGAACCAGTGTTTTGGTACCTTGGATATGGCTCCATGCAGGTGACGGCACCGTCCTTGCTAGCTGGTATGTGTCTGGGAGAAGGCTGCAGCTGGGAGCCTCACACAGAGCCACGTGCAGCTGCCCAAAGCCTGTGTGTGCTGCACTCACAGGAGAGAACTACACGCATTTGGCCTCCTGCCTCTGACAGAACAAAGTGCTTTCTAGGTATCAGTGAACTGAGTCTGGCAGCATTGCTTTTCTAAGGTGGTGAAGTCCCCGTTTCATCAGAGGAAAAAACTATGGGTTTACCTACATGAAGATACTCCAGAATCCTAATTTGAATGAACTTTGCAAGCTAATGAAACTTTTAAAAACTTAATTAAATCACATTAAAGCCTCATGTGGGCATTTTAACTTAAGAAGAACATTTAATTTAGCCCACCATTATTCTTACTAAAGGTGTCCACTTTAATACAGATGACTCACCTATTTGAAATGTGTGCTTCTAGTTCACCTAGATGACTTTTCCCTCCATTTTCCGTTGTAAAGAAGCCATTCAAGAGAGAGAAGGAACTTGCTTGGGATCATCCAAAAGAAGTGCCAGGAGCAGAACTGTGGGAGGCCAGACATACATGAGTATTCAGGTAAGAAGCTTTTCTCTCCACTGTCATTCTAGAACTGCTGGAAGTGCTTTTTACAGATCTAGCCCCACTGCACTCTTTTTCTGCCCCTTACAGATCAGGCTTTGCAACAGACTCAAACAGCAGAGGCAAGACAGGAAGAGTGAACTAGCTGGTGTCTTGCTCCAAGCAACACAGTATAGAAAATTCATGAAAATGCCACGGTCCTTTGAGACTGCAGCCTAGGGATCATTTATTCTGCCCTTCCAGTGTAACACAGACAGTATAATTTCATTCCATTACTTCTTCAGTCAGCCTGATAGTTTATCTGACTGAAACATAAAGTCAGAAATTTGCTGCAGTCAAATTTTCCAGGCATTTCGTTGGATACATGTTTTCCATTAAAACCAATTTTCCTTTTAGAAAACTACTTTTTTATAATCTTTTTCTCCCTCTAACAGACATGCCTTTCTGTGCAAAACCATAGTCACTGCTTTCTTGGGGATGCAGCTTTGGCCTATAGCTTTTTTTTTTTTTTTTTAAAGGGGAAAATCCTATATCTTTCCAGGAGCCTGAAATTATTACACTAGCATGAATGCAAATTTCTTCTAACCTCAAATACCTCTCTCTTATTGTCACTGCTATGCCTAGGTTCTTGAGGACATAGAGTGAGTCCGTTTGTCTACCTTAATATGCCAGCAAAGCAGTCGGAACAGAAATACCAAAGCCTGCAAGTTTTACAGGATGATCCCAGCCTCAGGCACTCCACAGGAGCCAACAGGAGAATCTGGTGGGCAGCTTAAAGACTTCTTCATATAAAAGCCACAAATTTAGACTTTTCTCTTCCCCCAACCAAATGGCAGAATGAGGTTGGGCAGTGTAGAGAGATTCAAATACACATTGGAATAAAACATAAAAATGAGCAAGACAGAAAAATGGTGAGTAGCATCTATAGGCTAGGTAATTTACTCTCAAATATTATAGTCTTAATTTGAGATTTTTTTATTCTCAAATATCAGACTAGACTTACTATGCTGGACTGTTTCCACATTCTGGGATCATCAGTAATGTTCAGAACATATATATAAGCACTTTTCCAGTGCTGGATCTTCACACAATACTTAGGACAAGAGCACTACTTCTTACATTTTCCTAAGGCAGAAAGTGAGAAATGGGAAAAAGTGACTTGGCCTTGGCCACACTAGACAGATGTTTACCAGAGAACTGGAGGCAACACTCACAAATCAAACTATAGTTATACTTTGTTTGGCACCATAACACATAGACCCATCTGTCCGAAGCTCACAAGGTCCACAGGAGAGCTGGGCACAGTCCTCAGGTGGAGGTCTGTAGACAGACAGTTCTCTTGCAACACTCATAGATACCCACCCATCTTGCCTTCTCTATTGCCAGTATCCCTTGGATCTAGATCTTTCCTCAGGCTGCCAGTCCTCCATCTGAAAAACTACAGTGCTCTGAAAAGCCCTGTAGAAACAACGTTGGAGTTATTAACCTCTCAGCGACCTATGCCTAGACCCTTATTACAGCACCCTTACATGAAGTTGAATAAAACAGCATATTCAACTGAAACTATGACAAATGCATTAGTTTGCCTAATTTTCTCATCTGCCAAAGGACAGAGTTGGAATTATTCTTTCTGAGCAAATGAGTTTTAGCTTTTCTCATTAGGTTTTCATAATCTACAGTGCACAGACTGGGAGGAAAGAGCTTTCAGCAATTTTGGCTAAAAATAAATGACTAAAGGTTAAAATCCTGAGCAGGAGGGAAGGTGTAACTGGTCCAGAGAAGTTTCCAGCCTCCTTCTAGCAGTCTTGACTGCACGAGGAGTTTAACAATGCCAAAAAATGACAGAGCCAGACAAATCCTTACCCAGGTAGTGGAATGGGCTGTTAGGTCAGATACTGTGACTGACACAGACTGATCTAATATAAATAACCAACTTAAAAGATGAAGGGATTATCTGTACTGAAGTGTCACTTTTACCTTGGTTATGTCACTTTAGATCACTCTGGTGAGCTAACTTTATGGTGACACTAGAGCTGTGAAATCTCACATGGTCTGAGGCAGACACAGGGATCTATTACATAGCATGGGGCATCCTGCATACATGTTTGCATCTGTCTTCTGACCTAAAGGACCATCCATTCTCCTCCAAACCACAGCACCGTGCTCTTCTGTGTGCTGGAATTGAAGTAAGCTGAGTTGAACGCACTCTTGATCGCATGGATGCACTATCTGAAATTAGAGGCAGGTTAAAAGCCTCTCATGTGACCTCCTCAAGCCTAACTTTGCAATAGATGCCTACCTCTCCCAGGAGTTGCACCAAGGACACCAGGTTACTACCTAGATTGAGTAGGTGCCAGCACCATACAGCTGGAGTCGCAGCCAAGCTGGACTGTGTACCCTACCATGCCTGCACTACATGATATATTCAAGGTAGGGCTTGCTGGTACAGCAGTGAAAGCCACAGCTAAGAGCACCAAAGGAATACATCCCTTAAAATGAAATGAGGTATTGAGACAAATATTTTTTTTTCTGGCTGACATAACTGTGTCAAAACCAAGGCTTTAACAAGCTCTTTTTTTCACACTCCTATCCAGCTCAGCTTCACAAGCAAAGTGATGAAATGTAGGCCAAATGCTCTGCAGAGACAGCTAATCCTTTTTATTCATATGAGAACAATCAAATATACAGGATTGACCATAGGTAGTGTATGTTGCAGCCCGTGGACAACGAAAGCAGAACACGCTTCACTGTCTGCTTGTTCTCCAGAAAGTGGGACACGTGTTTGCTTGTGCACAATCCAGAGCATGGATGGGGCTTTGGGAACTCAAAGAGAAGGTCACTCTTACACATCTCCACACAGCATCACCTGCCTTGCCCTGGACTGCAGCTCTGGGACATTGGCCCAGAGATTGCCGGTCGTGACCAAAGCACACACACAAGGGGAATGAGGGAGCAGTGGGAGAAGGAGAGGGCCTGTTGCAGGTGGAGGGAAGCCCTTCCTCACAAAGGCATACGCAGCACGCGGGTCCCCAGACTGCTGTTTGTCACACCACATGTGACAGAGAAAATGAGACTTAAGGAAGATGATGCCACTTGTAGTATATATCCTATGGCAGATGAGCTGTAATTCTTTGTCTGTACGATGTTAGAAAGCGGGGGTGGTGTTTTTAAAGATATTTTCTATACTGCAGCTAAGAATGGCAGGTTTCACAATGAAGCTGTTGTTCAATTAAACGTGAATCAGTGTGTTTGCAGACCTGACTGATATAGGGAAGTAATAAAACAAAGACACTAGAACTTATCAGTAATTCTTACCATTCCTTAATGATGTTTCTAATCTATGCTTTTGACCCTTCAGTAATTCTACTTGGTTCTCTGCTGCTGTAACATTTACAAAGTAACTGAAAATTTTATGCCAGTTGTTAGCTTATCATGTTCTCTTTTCAACAGCCCAAGACAAAGGCCAGTATATCATAAAATAAAAGTCCAACTCCATATTTAGACTTCTGAGTAAATGACTTGAATTTGAAATGAGCAGAGCTCACAATCTCTCTCACTGCTTTTAACAGAAACTCAGGGGTTCCTGAAAAATAAAGTCTTTTATCAGACTTTCAGATATGGTCTTGGGGACATGGCTTTTTATGCATAGGCACAGGCCTTCAGTGAACTTCGTGCCATTAGTACAGGTATTGGGCAGGGACACTCCTCAGACCTCATGAGGATGTTTGTGCTTTTTCTTTCAAATCACTTGAGGGACAGCTTTGCATTCCATCAGGCTGGTTTAGCCCTAGAGGCTGGATTACCAGAGACTTCTGTTGGCCTATGTATGGGTCTGGACAGCAAAGGTGGGTGAGCTGTCTTGCTGGCATCAGTCCTGCAGCAAAGCCCTGTTTTGTGCCAGTGAGTTACAGACTGGTATGGAGCACAGCCTTGACACACACCACCTCCACAGCAGAAACACCTCCCTGGTAAAACTCACTAGTGCTGGAAAAATGTTTGTACAAAGCTATGGCTGAAAGACGAGCTCTTTTGACTACACCTGCTCTCTGAGCAAGCATGGTCACGCTCATATGTCAGTACTCTACATTGGTAAAACTTTCACTTCCAAGAAGAGAGAAGAGTTAAAACATTGGCAGACCTATTCACGCTATTGTAATGCTATTTAAAATTGGGAGTTGCGTTGGTATGGATTTGGTTAAGTGAAAAACAACCTCCTCTTGACACATATGCATAACCACAACTTTTGCACAGGCATGCAGCTGTAGATGAAACATCAGCTTGAAAAGTCTTGGTGACCTCTGGGCAGTTTGCTCGCATGGCAGGATTATGCAGAAGGAACCGCATAAAATAAAGTTACGAAGTGGCAGATTCAAAGCTAACAAAAGGAAGCGCTTCATCAAATGCATAATTAAATTCTGGAGCTTGCTGCCAACAGAGCTATGGATGCCTAAAACAGATTTCAAAAAATGATTTTACGAAGCTGTGGACAGAGCTATTAAGTGCTATTAAACAGCAAGATTCTAGGAAGCTTTCAAGAACCCACAGCCTGGCAACTACACCAGAGAATTACCACTACATGCTTGCCTTTCTCGTATAGTTTTCTCTAAATATCTGCTATCAACCACTGATGAAGAGAGGATACTAGAGTAGACAGACATATAGAGTGATCTAATGTGCCCATTTTTCATTTAAAACTTCCTATGTTGGCACTGATTTACCTTAATGATGAGGGTTGTGAACCGCAGGGATTCACCAACTGTTTTATAAGTAGCTGAGCCATCCATGGAGCCCAGGCAACCTCTTCGAGAGACCAGCTCTAAATCAATCAGGAGATAGTCATGTCATGTTCTCCCCAGGTTAATTTATCCAGCTGTTTGCCCCCAGGAAGGTAGAACTTATCAGGAACTTAGTTCACCTGTTGCAGGCATACCCTAAGGGGTTCACCCAACTCAGATGCAAAGGATTGCAGCAAGCAAAGATATTGATTCCAGGTCTCCCAAGTGCTTTGCTGGCACCCAAACACCTGATCTGTTGTGCTTCTCAATTCAGGAGATAAGTGCAGGAGAAGGAGAAAGAGGTAAAATAGGTAAGAAATAATAATTGTGCAATTGGCTAAAAGGATATTGCAAACTTTTATAGGTTGGCATATCATCAACCCCGCACCCCATCCTGAGGTTTACAGTGCACATCTCACTTTGATGGCCTTCTTTCTTAGTGTGAGCAGTCCTCTCTGCACAGAAAACTGAACATGCCTGGGAATTGTGCTGCAATAGTGGTCGTTACTGCTGGTATACATGAGGTCAAACTCTGTTCTAGCAAGGAATTTGTCCTCTGAGCTGTAACACGGGTTGGACTCGGGTACACAGGTGAGACAAAAACATGCAGTAACATGGTTAGCAGAGAACTGGGCTGTAACATGACCCCTTGGCATAGAGATCTGCCTGCGTAAATGCCACTCCAGGCATGACAGATGGAGGGAAAGGAGTTTCCAATGCTGCTACATTTTTCTATTGCTCACAAATGTAACAGATCCCAGTCTCCTGTGATTCCTCCGAGTTTTCCCTGAACCACTGTAACATCTTATTATGTGCTACTTGGCCCCATGGGCAGGAAACCCCTGAGGTAACTCCCCAGGGAACACCACTGGGAAAGGCAGGTTTTATTTCTGGTTCTGCCCTAGGATTTCTCATCGTTGTTTAGGAAACTGAAGAGGTGACATCTCTGTGCCTCCACTTCTCTCTTGTAAAGCAGGGCTTGCAGCAGTTTTTAGCCTCTCAGGAATGTGAGGAGAATGCAAAGATTTGAGGGAAGCTGTGAGGTACTCAGATTTGGTGGTACCAGAGACTACCACAGCACATGAGACAGGCAAGCCCTGTGTATGGCACCTGATGAGCAGAACCAGGATGAGCATTTTCACCAGGGTAGGTGGCTGCAACTGAGGCTCACCCTGCCTATGGCAGGCTTCCTGCATGAGCTGAGGTAAATCCAGACTTTTGTCTCTTCCACTATGCTCAAGCTTTGCCCTAGGATGGCAGCAGGACAGATTGCTGTCCTGTGTAACGCTGGGTCAATAGCTCAGTATCCCAGCTAGGAGAGGACTCTGCACCAGCATCACAAGCACCTTGTCCTGGCACAGCTGCAGAGCCCAACGTCAAAATCTCCCACCTCCAGGTCACTGCTGGGAAGAATTACAGTTTCTTAAGATTTCCCCAAATAACCATAAAAGTACATGTTCCAGAACAACTTGTTCTACCTCAAGCCATGTGGTTATTTCATCTAGTGGTGGGCATTGGAGGAGCTACTTTATCATCAGCTGCAGCAGGGCTGAACTGTTTCCTGATGTTGATTAAGGAAATAAAAGTCACCAAACACAGTTCTTCCTGAAGTCCTTGTGTGAAGCTCTTCCTTTCTGCATGCTCCCTACTGATTGCACTGCTTTGCCAAGCCTTTTTAAAGTTTCTCCATTGTTCTTCGGGTGCTGTCAATCAATCACGGTTGCCTGTGCACACTGGCAAGCTTTGCAAAGGCAAATATGCAATTGAGATCCTTAATTAACACCATGT